TTATTCTTGGATATCTTATCATTTTATTGCTATTGTAAGTATAATATTTTAGTTTAGAACATATTTTCTATATTTTATGGGTTATTATATTGTTGATTTTTGTATAATGATAATTTATCCAGAAACATTGTTGATCTCTCCTCTTTTTTTTTTTTTTTTAATGCTTTGACTGTACAGTCCCTTACATCTTTCTATGTAGATGATTCTACTGTCTATATAACTCAGCTATCAGGTCCTTCAGCTATCAGCCACAGAAGGCTGTTGAACACTGTCCTAATTGAGATATGCTGGAAGTGTAAAATAACAGAGTTTTGAGAAATTAATTCATTGAGAAAGAATGTAAAATATGCCACTAATAATTTCATATTGATTACATGTTACAATAACAATATTTTTGATATGTTCATTTCAGTAGAATAAGTTGTTAGAGTTAATTTCCCATTTCATTTTACTTTTTTGATATGCTTACTGGGAAATTTAAACATATGCAACTCATTTTTGGCTTGTCTTGTATTTCCTTTGGAAAGTTCTGATCTAAAAATAACAATAGCTTTTGGGGTTTTTTTTTTTTCATTCTCAGTCCTTCTGCTAATATTGAGTTAGTGGGAACCACCAATACATTATTGCACAAAAGCTACTATAATGAGAACTTTCCTTTGTTTTTGCCATTAAATAAATACTTCTAATAGTTTATCATTAAATACAATAGTTGCTACAGGTTTGGGGTAGAGTCTATATAGAGAATTCCTTTAAAAAAAAGAGAGAGAGAATCCCTTTTGTTCCTTACATGTTAAATATTTTACATTAAATGGTTTATGGATTTTATAGTATTCAAATTTTAGATGCTTCTTTTTCTATTGAGTTTCATGTTTCTATTTCTTTCAAATAGTTTCTGAATATAGTTTATAATTTCTTAATATTTTTCAATTTTAGATAATTTATATTAACTCCACACTAATGAAAATGAAGATAGTCTCCTCTCTCTATCTCTTTCACACATACATAGTTCCCATTGCTCTATTATCATTATGTGACAATTTGTATTTAAATCAACATGCAACATTAGATTGTTATAAACATGTAAATATTAGTCACAGCTGAATCATGTACTGGATTATTATTTCGTGTTCTTAAAAACGTTTTGCTTTTCATGTCGTTAATATTAGAATCATTTTTTCATATTTATCTAATTTTATGTATATTGATATAATTAATTCCTTAACTCTCCAAAGTTGTACATCACCTCTCAGTACATTCAAATGCATTGTATTCATCCCACATTTTTGTGGGGGAAAAAAATCCTTCTTGGAATATAGCCTTTCTTTCCTAACTGAACTGATATTGCTCTCCTAGTTTGTTTCACAGCCATTATTTTATTGATTTTATTATATATAGGAAATATTTTTATCATTTTAAAATCACTTCAAATTATAATATAATATAGGCTCAGCACCCAAGGCAGGCAAGTTTAAACCCGGCCCAGGCTTGCTAAAACAACAATGACAACTACAACAACAAAAAACATAGATGGAAATATATTAATATATAAGAAACTGATAATCATAGTTACTCTGAAGAGGTGTTTGTGGGCTGGTATTCAGGGTAGAAGAGAGATTTTACTTTGTACATTTAATACTAGTTTTATTGTTTGCCTTTTTAATACATATGTACATACAAGCTTCTAGGACTACCAGACTGTACTACAATAATTAGAATCCATTTCTGTGAAATGACTGTTGCTGTCTTAAAGAAATTGTGAAGAATAGGCGAGGTACTATGAGGGCTGAGAAGAGACTAAAAGAGACTAAGAATGCATCTTTGTTTGTTTTCTGTGGCTTACAACAGAATACCCCAAACTGGGTGATTTATAAAGAAAAGTAATATATGTCTTACACAGGATAAATCCAAGATCAAGGAGCTGCATCTGGTGAGAGTTTTCTTGCAGGTGAGGACACTCTGTGGCATCCCAAGGCAGCTCAGGGCATCACAGGGTGAGGAGGCTGCGTATGCCCATGTGCTAGCTTGGGTCTCTATTTTTCTTCTTATAAGGCACCAGTTCCCAACCCAGTCTAACCCATTAATCTATAAATCCATGAATATCAGCACCCCTATACAACCACCTCTTAAAGTTGTAATCCTCAGTACTATCACATTGGGGACTAAGTTTCAACATGAGTCTTGGAGGGAACATTCAAACCATAAGAGTGGAAACAGAAGACCAATCAAAGGCCACTGTAATAATCCAGGTGAGAGGAACAGTAGCTTGGTCTATGGTGGTAGCCATGGAAGTAATGAGAAGTGATCAGCATTGGGAGAAACAGATTATATGTGTAGATACAGATGTAGACATAGATGAATAAAATTTAAAAGACGTTATATTTTATCGTCATCAGGATCTCTATTTTATATATAGTTTTATACAACTTAAAAATGGATAATATTAACCATACAAAGTCTATTAGTATTTACATTAAGTTATTTCAACAGGTTTTGTAGGCTTTGTGCTATTTAATTCAGTGAATTTTGCAAAGTTACTTTTTGTGCTATATAATTCAGTGAATTTGACAAACAACTGAAGTTACTTAACACCACTTCAGTTAGAAGTATTGTCTTTAAACTCAGATACACACATATACACATCACACATAATCAAACAGCAGTGTTCTAGACCCAGAAAATCAATAACTAGTTTACAAAGTAAATACTTTTTAAAAAAATAGTAGTAGGGGAGTTAGGTTAAAACTTATTGCTTCTTTTGGAAAGACATCTGAAGAACACTGAGAGAACTAAAAATAGACTTGCCATTTGATCCTGCAATTCTTTTGTTAGGTATATATCCAGAAGACCAAAAATCAAATTACAACAAAGATATTTGTATCAGAATGTTTATTGCAGCCCAATTCATAATTGATAGGTCATGGAAGAAGCCCAAATGCCCAACAACCCACAAATGGATCAATAAATTGTGGTACATGTATGCCATGGAATGCTATGCAGCCCTAAAGAAGGATGGAGACTTTAACTCCTTCACGTTTTTATGGATGGAATTAGAAAATGTTCTTCTTAGCAAAGTATCTCAAGAATGGAAGAAAAAGTATCCAATGTACATAGCCCTACTTTGAAACTAATTCATAGCTTTTACAGGAAGTCATAACCTAATTATAGCCTTAGAATATGGGAAGGGGGTGGGAGGGAGAGGTGAGGGGGGCGGGCTGGGGGAGGGAGGGTGATTGGTGGGGTCACCTCTATGGTTTGTCTTACAAGGGTACAAGTGAATCTTTCTAAAAGCAGAGTATGAACATTTTAACTCAATAACTAAGAAAAATGACATGAAGGTTATGTTAACCAGTTTGATTAGAGTATTTCAAACTGTATATGAAAACAGCACACTGTACCCCATGATTGCATTAATGTACACAGTTATGCCATAAGAAATTTTTTTTTAAGTTAAAAAAGTTATTGCTTGAAATTCTTTAGTACAGATTTTAAAAAATCAGCAAATTTAGAATTTTAAGAATGACCTCCACATTTTAGTATAGTTGGATGTGACTGCTTCACAATTAATACCACAAACATCAGAAAAGCATAATTTCTGGTGGTCAAAATGACTTCCTTACTAATTTGAACTATACGTTTATGGTAACAATTTATATAAATGGGTTAAAATGTGATTCTTTCTGATTCAAATTAAAATGAAGGTCCTGATACAATGTTACTTCAAATAATTAAGAAATTTTATCTGTTCATTAGCCAAGAGGCCAAGTCATCCCAAGTAACTGTCTTGTAATAACAAAGGAATATATTTCCTCTCTAATGAAGCACAGATATGGGTCACAGTTCTGGTCTGTCATGAACTAGCAACATGAGGGTGAGTCCTTTGATTTCCCAAGAATTTCATTTCCTTAGATGAAAGATTGAAGGAGTTTGGTTAATGTGGCCTGTAAAGGACTTTTCCAATCAAAAAGAAATTAAGTCAGCTTAGGACTTTCAGCTTTGGGATGAGTGGAGTCAGAAGTACATTTTTAAAAAGACACACAGACTTATACTTTTGTACATGTGCAATGCCATAATTCAGAACTGCTTATACTATTGACCTAAAAAATGTACTCATGGAATGTCAATATAATGATTTGATATTATTAAAAAGTCTGAAACAAAGCATCAAACAATAAAAATGTCTAAAATCTTTAATGTGTTCATGACAGTTGGGTTAAAAAAATGATACACCACTACCAGTTAGAATATCCCACCTTTGAATTTTAAAAGCTAAGAATCTGAGCAGGGGGAAAATGACAAAGAGATTGTATTACTCAATCCATTCTGTTAGACAGTAATCAATACATTTAATTGAAAAGTAAACATTTTGAAATATCATCAAGAAAACAAAAGATGATAAAAACTGGTTTCCACAGAAAAGATGATTCCTTTCACCAAAGCACCATCCAAAAACATATTGTCTTAACACATGCACACAGCAGACAGACATACACACACATTATCTTGAATGAACTGAACAAAAATAATAAGACCACCATGATCAAAAATGGCGCATAACCTGGCATGAAATAGCTTTCTCTAGTCCAATGATGCATTCACATTCTGCACTATTCTAATTGGTTCTTCTTTTCTGTCTCCATTACAAGAACCATTTCAGCTTAGTGCAGCAGCTCACACCTGAAACCCTAGCACTCTAGGAGGCTGAGGCAGGAGGACTGTTTGAGCTCAGGAGTTTGAGACTAGCTTTCGCAAAACCTGGTCTCCACTAAAAATAGAAAAATTATCTGTACACTGTGGCATGTGCAGGAGTTTGAGAAAAATTATCTGTACACTGTGGCATGTGCCTATAGTCCCAGCTACTGGGGAGGCTGAGGCAGGAAGATTGCTTGAGCTCAGGAGTTTAAAGTTGCTGTGAGCTAGGCTGACACCAGGGCACTCTAGCCTGAGTGATAGAGTGAGACTCTGCCACAAGAAAAAAAAAAAAAAGACCCCTTCATAAGTCTCTAGTTGAATGCTATTCCAGATGTCTTACAAATTCTACCTCTTTCATAGTTACAAGAAATATCATTCCAGGACCATTTATCATCTGCATAAACAAGAACAGCACAGTTTTCTTCCTCATAGTTGTTGGGTTCATTCTTATGCCAGAACCTGAAAGGAAATAGATAGATATAAATACAGATATAAATAATATAGATATAAGTAGAGATCAGAGGAAAATTCAAAGAAAATGTCCTCAGGCTACATTTTAGAGCTATATTGTCTAATACCCCAGTCACTAGCCATACGTGACTACTGAGTCCTTGAAATGTGCCTTCTCTGTATTGAGATGTGCTTTAAGTGTTAAGCGTACACTGTATTTTGAAGATTTATCATAAGAAAATATGTAAAAGATATCATGAATAATTTTATATTGATGGCATGTTGAAATAAGATTTGGATATATTAGGTTAAATAGATATTAATTATTAAGACATTATTAAAATAATTTCACTTGTTTTTTTTTTATTTTCTTAATGTGGCTGCTAAAAAAATGTTATATTACACATGTACCTATGCATTATATTTTTACTAAACAATACTAGACTCAAAGATAAAAATGGCAAACTTATAACCCCATTTCAAAAACAATTTTTATCCAAATTTGTCCAAGAAAAATTTTTTCACATCACTCTCATGTTCTCTGTTCTTTCATTGACATTATACAAATAAAGACACTGAAAATTTCACTGAAGTCATAGGATTGTTCTGTAACTGGGACAGAACATATAGAAGTTACTGAACACTCATAGTGCTCTATTCTAAGCAACATTTTCACATAGCTATACTCTACCCAAAATGAATTCTTGCTACCTTCTCCCCACCTTTGCCCATAAATCCTCTTCATCCCGCCTGATATACTCACACCATGTGCTGGTTAAATGGTGTCTGGTCCACCCAGCGCCACTGACCTTCAGTGTTCTCATCTGTAAGTCCCAGGAAATACGAAAACCGTCTATCCAAAAACTGAATAACAAAGTTCTGCATAAAAAGATGGAAATTTTTAAAAATATATTTTCACTTATCAAATGATGGCTGTTTTGTTGGAGATAAAGGAAAGAAGTCAAATAGATCAGCAGTTAAGCACAAAAGCTTTGCCATCAGATAGAGCTATTCTCAAATCCTCCCTGTAATGTTGTTAAGCACTTTCATCTCAGCAACCCTCAATTTTTCTCAACTTCAGAAAGGACAATTCCACTACTTCACAGAATTACTGTGAAGATTAAATGAGATAATACTTGCAGCTCTCTTAGTATAATGCTTAATAAAATTGTATTTTTTAGGAGTTTTTGTTTTTGAAATTGCCTTTCTAAATTGTATACAAATTACATTAAATTCCATTTTACTCATAAAACAAACATCACATGTACTCACTATTCAAATGGAAATAATTGATGAGCTCTCATGTACATAGAGGGCAGTAAAACTCAGCGGAAATCAAACAGAGGGAAGGAAGGAAAAAGACATGGGCGAAAACCTACCTAATAGGTACAAGGAACATGACCTGGGTGATGGGCACACTTTTAGCCCTGACTCAAGAATTACAAAAACATTTGTACCCTCATAAGATTTGAAATTTTAAAAAAAGCAGCTTTTGAGTCATCATACATGTATGGAAATACATTACATGAGGAAACCAAGTTTAGCTTTTCAAGAATGGAATTTACCTTAAGATTTCTTCATTTAGGATTAGAACCAAACATTTGCACCCTTTTTGCCTATACGTTAACCTGAGAAGATACTTTAGTCCTGATTAGCCATTCATTTATCAAGACCGACCCAGTGTGCCTGGCACTGCACAGGAAGGACACCGGAGGTGCAAAGATGAGCAAATCATGGCTCCTCGGCAAAGCAAGGAGTCGTCACTGGAAGCAATGGGGAAGTGTACAGACAATTATAGTCCACTGGAGGAAATGCCACGATATCACTGTGCACAAAGTACCACAGAAGTACCTCTAGCTTAGAATAGGGAGGGTGGAGAGGGGAAGGTGGTCAGGCTTGCTTTCTACATGAGATAACACGGGAATCAAATCTGGGCAGACCAAAAGAAGTTGGCTGTGGGAAGAAAAATGGGAGCAGAAGAAAAGGCTTTCCAGTCAAAAGGAGCAGGTTAAGCATAAGGGGCAGAGGTATAATAAAACGGAGAGATTGCTCTTTCTCTACAGAGATTCAAACCAGCAGAGAAACTGATGTGATCCTCCTGACACACCTCCTCGGCTTCTGTGCTGATGGTCACCAGATGAGCCCCCATCCCTGAACAGTTTCTTTCGCTCTCAGCCCACATATTGTTATCATTGAGAGGAAGATAACAGTGAGACTGGAAGGCTCTCCAGCCAACAGGACAGCAATTCCAGATGCTCCCTTGGGTGAAAATTAAAATGGAAATTAGTAACAAAGGAGTATCTCATCAGTCTGCACAGTCTGCACAGCTAATCTACTAGCTAATGTCCAATGAGCACTTGTGGGAACAATGCCAGGAACACCAAAATCATTGTTTCCCCGCCCCTCACAAAAATCCTAAAAAATCACATTTCTAAATACGTTCTAAATGTAAGTATTGGAAATCATATAAGAATTACAAAAAAAATTATAAAGCATTCTCTTAAAAGACATTATTATTCAATGTCCATACATCTATTTACTTTCATATTTAATGTGTTTCCATAACAAAGCTTTATTCAGGATATTTTATCTGAATGGGGCAAAGAATCTGATAAAACTCAAGCATTTCCCATTCTCCCAAATGAGACTTTACAAATTCCAGAATAAAAAAAGAAATAAAGACATCTCAGCAAAGCTACACACTCTAAAAGAAAACTGTCCTTACAACATAACAGGTCTGAATCAATGGAAAATGGAATTAAATTGATGTTATTTGGGGATGTCAAAAACATCCCATAAATTTATTAAGTTATATTTTTCAGTTAGTCAACCTGTTATAGTCCTAAAAAATAATTCTATTTTAATGTACTGATGTTCACTTTTGACTCAGATTCTCATGTTATTTTAATCTTTCCTAGCTTACTACTGATATTCTTTAAATCAGAATATGAAAAATGAAAAAAAATCATATTATGAATTTGAATGGAAGTGGAAATAAGAGAGAAATTTCCTCAGTCTCTCTGTCATCTGTACCTTTCAATTCTGAAGTCTCTCTGATGCATGTTAGCTTTGTATGGTATTCGAGTAACTTGTGCATTCTGGTGCCTCCCTTACAATGTAGAAAGTTGTGATAAGTTACTGTCAAGAAGAAAAAATAGTTAGTTCATTTTCCTGGATAAGCACTTAATTAGGAAAATGGGGGCTGATCTCTCTAATAACCTTTCTCTTATCTTTTTTTTTTTTTTTTTT